CCAAGTTTTTGTAATTATACACTTTATCAGAGGATGAGAATCCTCTAATATTCCAAGCACCTATAGAAGGGCTGGTCATTTAGACTTCGATGTTGGTGTGGGGGTTTTTTTTTTATTTTTTACCCCTGGTGGATTTGAGTAAAGGGTTTGTTGTTGTTTTAGAAGAAAATTGAAGGGTAGAATCATCTGCTACCTTAGGAGAATCATGGGTAGAGTTAACAACAATATCCAAGTTGTTAAAACCTTGTTCTTCACAAATTTGAAGAGTATCAAATTGGTTTTTTGTGGGTATGAGAGAATTGTTTAAGGAATTAGTTGTCTCCAGGTCCAGGTTACCAATACTTTCATCGGTTGGGGAGTTGAGATTAGGAATGGTGGTGTTGGAAGGGAATATAGGGACTGTAAGAGAAGGGATTGTCATGGGGGCAATGATGCCAGAGGTGGAAACAACCGCATGAATAGGTTCAATTTGCTGTTTAATTTGGGCCCCAAAAATTGGTGTTCAATTCTGGGAGCTAGGGATGGTGACTTGGGATGGGATTATAGCAAGGGAGGAAGAGGCAGGTTCCGAAGTGATGGCAGTTGAGGTTATATTATGCTTATGAGCAGCCCCTAAGATACGGGTCTGGGAAGAGCTGCGGCCCCTGTGAGGCTGAGATTCTTGTTGTGGGGGTTGGGGATTGGATGGGCAATATTAGGAGGTATGAGCCATAGATTTACAAGTGGTACAGGGGTTGGGCTTCCATTCATATTGGATTTTTAGATGATAAACAACATCTTCAATGGAGATGGGCACCGTATCTGGGAAGTCGGAGGTGGTGGCGACTTGAATACAAATCCTAGCATAAGTTAACCTGGTTTTCGCAGCAGTTAACGCATCCACAGCAAGAGGGGTATCAATTTTTGAGGCAATTTTTGATATACCTTCTGAGTTCCAGCAAACAAGGGGCATGTCAATAATCCTAACCCAAATCGGAACCATAGCAAAATTTTCACGGGTCGGTTGAAAGGTCTTAGACCATTTTTGAAAAACAAAAGGCTTTCCATGAAAAAACCAAGCACCCTTACTCCAAACCATTTCATAGACTTCGGTATTGGAAAATTTAAAAAAGAAAAATCCATCGCTTAAGGCAATAAGCTAGAAAGTACCTTTGAGTTTCCATATTTTCTTAGCTGTAGAAAGCAAAGCTTTGTAATAAGGTCGCTTACCAACAGAGTATCCAACCAGCGAAAGTTTCCATTCTGAGGCAGTTGCAGCTGTAAAATCCTTGTTGAAAGGAACAATAACCTCAGGAGTCTCGATGAGAGAGACAGGAAGTGAATCCATGACCGGTTCGAGAGAAGTAGCTATAGTAGACCAAAGACGATCGAGAGCCGAAGAAACATGAGGGTTTGAGGTAGAGGGGGGAATGAGTGGAGGAAACAATTGAGGAGAGG